GGAAATACATATTTTAAAAACAGATAACTTCATCACTGAATTATTGTATATATTCACCTGAAAAAAATATTGATGCACTTCCAGTAATACGTGTTTTTTTTTAGTTTGCTTCAATTAAGTTCAATTTGATTAGCGTTATCCTAGTCCGTATTTTGTCAAAGATTTTTATGCAATTTATATGTTTTGGTAAAAAGATGTTTTTCACAGCAAAAAACGATATCGTAGTAACTGTTAAAATTATTGTGTGGCGTGTGAAACGTAACGTTTAGAACGCTGTATATGGGGTTTCTCTATTAAGGTAAAAGTGCCTATATTTAGTTAATATAGATGTGTATGTAGTTCGTTTTTGTAATATCAAACACATGGCTTTGGTTTGGTCTCCTTTTTATCAAGGATTGACCCCAACATAGCTGATTAGGAGACCTGTATGCGATATTGTTATGAGGTAACTGTTATAATGGTTGTGTGGAATGTGACGTTTAGAAAGCTTTGTATGAGGTTTCTCTATGTATGTAAGAGTGCCTTTACGAATATAGAGGACTATCTATATATAGCTGGTTATGTCATATCAGACACAGGAGTTTTGGTCCCATTTCTTGTCAAGGATTGACCAAAACATAGCCGGTTAGAAGATTTGCGATATTATAAGCAACAGGTACCATTCGCGAATGAGCCAAACGATCTTAATACGCTAATATAGATACATTATTAGTACATACATAACGTTTTACTCTTTTGCGACAGATATCTTTTGATACATAACGGATAAAAAGGAGGATATAGTGACATTGGCTCAAAGATCACCATCTTTATACGGAGATTTGCCTTATGGTAGAGGTATAGACAAGCAGTTATTTAAATCAAAACAATTTTTATTTATTCATTGTACCAATATTCAATGACGTGAAATGCCAGCATGCATGAGATTAATTTCAAAGGGTGTTCATTGATATAGTTAAGTATGGCAGAGATACCAGTAAAAAATATCAGGTTCACAATTACTTCATCAATGTTTGGAGTACATGACCGATGGATTCATTTCTTTATTCGCTCATTGTGTACATTTATTTTGTTAATTTTGAAAATAACAACTAAAACACTTTCACCATTAGATTCAGAATCTTCTATGACGTAATGCTTTGCAAACATGATTGGAAAAATAAGGTTTGTAAAAGATCAACTCGGAAGATATACTAGTATATTACATTTCATATGATGTATTCTTAATATATGGTTGTTGAATTAATTTACATCACTTGTGTTAAGTATATTTTAAATCAATTTCTCCCATATTGATATCCGATTTAAACCGGTACTCGTTGAAAGCGAGTATGTTGCTGCATGAATTTCACGAATGCCTTAGGATTCCGAGCTACTCTTGATAAAAAATCTCGAAAATAAACACGAAACTGTAAAAAAAAAGACATATCTTCCTTGCTATCTTTAGAATCATTATGAGACGGTGTTGTTTCGCCCTATAACGAACTTACAGAGAAAAAAAATTTTGAAGATTCATATGTAGAATTGTTGTCGTTTTAATTAATGATATCTATTGCATCGAAATTCTGTATGCTCTAAATTGAATTATGTATCAAAGTTAATGGAAACACCTTACGTGTTGTTTTGGTTTTGGAGAAACACCCTACGTGTTGTTTTGGTTTAGAGAAACACCTTACGTGTTGTTTTGGTTTTGGAGAAACACCCTACGTGTTGTTTTGGTTTGGAGAATCATCCTACGTGTTGTTTCAGTTTAGAGAAACACCTTACGAGTTGTTTTGGTTTGGAGAAACACCCTACGTGTTATTTTGGTTTGGAGAATCATCCTACGTGTTGTTTCAGTTTAGAGAAACACCCTGCGTGTTGTTTTGGTTTGGAGAAACACCCTACGTGTTATTTTGGTTTGGAGAATCATCCTACGTGTTGTTTCAGTTTAGAGAAACACCTTACGAGTTGTTTTGGTTTGGAGAAACACCCTACGCGTTGTTTTAGTTTAGAGAAACACCCTACGCGTTGGTTTGGTTTGGAGAAACACCCTACGTGTTGTTTTCGTTTAGAGACACACCCTACGTGTTGTTTTGGTTTGGAGAAACACCCTACGCGTTGTTTTAGTTTAGAGAAACACCCTACGTGTTTTTTTAGTTTAGAGAAACACCCTTCGTGTTGTTTTAGTTTAGAGAAACACCCTACGTGATGTTTTGGTTTGGAGAAACACCCTACGTGTTATTTTGGTTTGGAGAATCATCCTACGTGTTGTTTCAGTTTAGAGAAACACCTTACGAGTTGTTTTGGTTTGGAGAAACACCCTACGTGTTATTTTGGTTTGGAGAATCATCCTACGTGTTGTTTCAGTTTAGAGAAACCCCCTACGTGTTGTTTTAGTTTAGAGAAACATCCTACGTGTTGTTTTGGTTTAGAGAAACACCTTACGTGTTGTTTTGGTTTTGGAGAAACACCCTACGTGTTGTTTTTGGTTTAGAGACACACCCTACGTGTTGTTTTGGTTTGGAGAATCATCCTACGTGTTGTTTCAGTTTAGAGAAACACCCTGCGTGTTGTTTTGGTTTGGAGAAACACCCTACGTGTTGTTTTAGTTTAGAGAAACACCCTACGTGTTTTTTTAGTTTAGAGAAACACCCTTCGTGTTGTTTTGGTTTAGAGAAACACCCTACGTGTTGTTTTGGTTTGGAGAAACACCCTACGTTTTGGTTTGGAGAAAAAACCGTTGTTAACGTGTCTAAGTGCATTGTTGTACCATGTCAATATATTTGATAGAAAAGTGAAAACATAGGGATTTGTTGAGGGACCTAAGTCACTGAATCTCGAGTTATTGATAGGCTGGGTACTGTTGTTCTACGGCCGATGACATGCAATAAGAATAAAAATCGATCGAACAGAAACTAATGGTTAAATCACTAGGAAAATTAACAACGGTGCAGTACTCCAATGAAAGTGAAAAGTACAGGATCTCCACAAAAAGACTGGAAATGGGAAGTACAAATATTTCCAGGCCCCCATATATTGTTCATCAGTCTTTAGATATCGGGACTATTCTTTAGAATATATTGTGAAGGGGCGAATTTAAATATTAAGCATATTAATAACGAAAATGTGAGAAACTTATTGGAAATAATCAATTTACTCATGAAGACATGCAATGGCCATTATTGTGTTTCTCCAGTATATGGTATTCTTCATACGCCAAGTATGTAATAGGATCAAAATATATTACGCTCCAATCAGTCGTGATTTTCGGATTGTGTCAACAAATATCTTGCCAAGCATGCGACAAAATTGTCGCCACAGATCGTGTGAATACAGGAACAGTTGTACTGTTTACTAAATACTAATAAAGGAAATAGTTTACGTAACCAACATACATTTACAAAATTCTAGGACCATTCACTATATATATAACAGCCCTAGACAGTTCATCGGGCTGTAATGTCTGCACGATTTGCCTATATTGTACATTATCATATTCTTATGTATGTCGTCAAAGTTCAGTTGAAGACATTTTATTGAGACACACACACGTGGTAAAACTCATGGAAGAGGCACATGGAGACATTACCTAGTTTTCGTCAAAAGTTGAATACAGGACTCACTAAATACCTGTATTTGATAGGGAAAACCAGAAAAGGAAATATTTGACGAAATGTCAGAAGTTTATGGTGAGTGTCCTTTCACAGAATTAAAGTGTGGTGGATTAACCCTTGGAGAAGAACCTTATCTTGACGGGCCTGTTAAGGTGGCCAGTGACCAGTGAAGATGAGATAGAGAGAGTAGGTGATGAAAGAACGTCGAATGAATGTGTCCGATATGGCCAAGTCATTATACATTTGCGTGGAAAAGTGTTCATACAATTTTTCACGATCAATTGTTACTGGTGATGAAACATGCTTCATCATTACTACCCAGAGACCAAATAACAAAGCAACCAGTGGACTGGCCTCGGTTCACCTCCTCTAATACTGTTCCAAATCCTTGCTTACCGATTACCTGCCTCGTGGCAAACTATTATTAGAGACTTTACGGTAATAGACCATTTACGTGCTGCTATCGTTGCAACACGGCACGAAAAAGGTCACGAAAGATGACTCACAGAAGTGTTTCCGGCTAAAAGGTTCTCAAAGTGAGGGTTGATGGTTGTACATCTTCGTAACAATATGTTATCGTTTACACTGTTGCATGTGATGCATCAGTTTATTCGGTTAAATCACTTTAAATATGATATAAATTTCGTCGCCCATTTGAGAGAGGTTCCTGATGGAGTTTATGCAATAATTCATAATTGAAAAAGGCGTTATGATTATTGACGTTTGTGGAGTTCTACATTTCGTGTAATATCACAATTTGTATAAAAAGATTGAACTTACTTGACCCTTTGAAAGGTAAAAGTTTATATATCATGTCGGGCGATAACCTTTTGTTTTAACATCATTGGTCACTTTACAAATGCAGTATATATAAAATACGCAAGCCACTAAAAGTATCGGTGATTTGCTGGAACCAATTTTTAACGTATTTTACCAACGTGACCTTAAGGCTGTGTCTGCTTAATTTATTTGAACAAACTTGATAGTTTGTGATCCAAGCAAGTTAAAGATCAAACATCACTACTCTTGGTGTTATGGAAATATGAAGAAGTCGTTTAATATTTTTAAATCGTGTGATGAGATTATAAATTAATTATAGACAGAGACTCGGGTGGCTTAAAGAAGCAAGAGTGTACGTTGATAACTCAGCAAAGATTTGTGTTTTAAACAAAAGGTAGTATAATGCTTATATCGAAAGATCCAAGAGCATTTTTGCACCTTTATTTTATAAATTAGCCTTTTGAAGGAGACGTTATACGTTTTTTCTTTCAAAACCTTTTTTATGACCTACATGAGTATTAAAACTTTAGTTTAAAGCTAATATTTGAAAAGCACAATTAAGGAAAATAGAATATTTTGATCATCAAATATTATTGGAGATAAAACAAACAAAGGCTAAACATACATATATTATGTTTAATAGCAGAAGACATATGGTAATGATTGATCTTTGAAGATATCATATATTATCCCCTCTTATAGTATAACAACCATTAAAGTTAACAGATATGATACTGCAGATAAACTTATTTTAGCGAGAAATATGTTTTTGCGTTAATCGCAAGAATAGTCGGATGTAAATTATGATATCTGGCGTATGTTAGATGATATTTAAACAAAGGATGTACATATCTATTACATTACGATAACTTTGTAAATATACCTATCGCGAATTGATTTCAAATTCCAGCAATTATTCGTTAAAACGTATTTGCAAAAACATCTATTCGCAAATAAGTGATCTGCAGTAAATTGAGTAGTTAAGATAGAGAGTCCCAGTGCGCTGTATATTTTGTTGATAGTTCAGTCTTTTTTCTGACTTTGATCCTCTATTGCTTTCGCATGGAAATACAGTGAATTACCTGAAGGTAACAGGGATATAACTTTCTTCGGCCTATGTACACTTTCTCGATGGTTGGACTCTCTACCTAAACTGTCGTTTTAGCTAAAACACAGCGTAACAGATGTAACAATTAAATCCACTTAAAGTATTACAAACAAAAAATATGTTTGTCGCAGATTGAAGTTGTAAGCACTTATAGATGTAGAAGTAATGGAATGGGAACAATTATGATAAATAGAAAAACAAATTTTGGAATACGACATTTAATATAACAAAATAAATATCCTATGCATGTTTCTTTTATAACAATGATATCGCATACTTCCCACAGGGACCGCGTACAATGGAACCTCATTAGTCTGAAAATATTGATTTTCTAAACATTGTTAACATATTTTCAGGATTGATATTATGAAAATGATGTATTTCTGGATAAAGCAGATTCCAATTGCACAAGATGTACATACTTGATAAAAACACATTAAGTTCAATATGTACGGCTTTCTTGTGTTATAATACCACCAACTGAAATGGCACACCAGAGTAGCAATACATAAATAGACAAGCAGAAAAATCCCACAGTGAGTATACTGAATGGTACACAAAACTACACAGAAGAATGCTGTCTGGTACCGTGTATATGTTTAAACCTACAGTGGAACTTCAATAATCCGGAAAACATATTTTAAAACTTTTTGCTGGTTCAATATTTTGCGGATTTACACAAAACTATTAAACTATGAATCTTATAAAACGGATGAATTTTTTGCAATTGTATGTTTCTATTGTTATAAGCTCCTGAACAAACTCTCAGACACGATTAACAGTTTCACTTGATCTATTCTTGTAGAAAATGACCAACAAGTGAACCACGCAAAGAATTAAAATATTTCATTAATTTCTTGCAATTCTCGTGAAATTGACTTAACTAAAATAATGGGAGAAATAATCTGTTCTGTATAATGATGTTCTCGTTTGAGGTTTTCCGGATTATCGACGTTCCTCAGCATATCTCGACATTTAGATATCCTTTTTGATATAATGTTTACACATTGGTATATAAAATATATGTGTTATCCAGTTCTATTATTCCGAGGATTTGGAACTTGTCTCATCAGCCTCTTTGTTTTGTTCTTTTTTGTCGTCTTCTCCGTCCTCACACATACAGGCGATGAACTCTGTACAGACAAAACATGAATATGTACACACATCCGACAGATATTAAATTATAAAACACAATATATATATATATTTTATATCATGATTCAAGTAAATATGTGTAGAATTTATATAAGAAAATGGATAATATGTCTTGTTAAAGGGAAATAGTCCTCAATTTTGCAAATATAAGATAAAGTGCACTCAACAGTCATATGAACATTTCATGATATGCCACATATAAATAGATCGCGGAACAATGCTCTAATGGCGATAATCATCACCTACACTAATCGATATGTGACCAAATTAGCCTGTCCTCCTGGTAGTATAATCACCGCTCCATGACAACTGTCACGTCGCTTTTTATGTATTTATTTTACTTGTCTCTTTTGACTTATTCCAACAATTCTTTAAAGCAACCATGTAATTTTGTTGTTTTATAACATCTTTAAACTAAAAGATATTATACAGCAGAATAGCAATTCAAAAATTACACACTACGATGATCAGACAAGCTACCAATTCTTTTTGTTATGAAAGTTACTTTACCGTGTTTTCTGTAAAATTAATGAAAAAGTTCCTTATACCAAACCATTTGATAACAGAATATCGTAAAATCCTATATCTTAATACCGATACTTAATTTCATTCTCAAAACATTTTGTAACTTTTGATACGTAATAGATGTTACACAAGGAATCCATTTTATTGGAATGCTAATATTTGACCGTATTTCAACAGTTTTTAACACTGTTCTGTTATCAAACATTATGCTTGGCATAATACCTTCAAAATCTATCCTTCCGTCTCCATCAATGTCCACTTCCGCTATCATCTCATCAACTACAAATGAAGGCAATGAAACTATATCATCGGGTAGTTTTTTTGTATTTTGTAAGAGATTAATTCTCGTATTAATTTGCGAAAATTTTCATCCTCTTCATTCCTCTTCAACGCATCTTTGCCCCATAACAAATTATTATCGGTATTGAAATAGCTCCTTTTAAACGCGACTTTAATTATCCAAGTAAAACAAACAGATACTGTTTATAAAATAGGATGTGCTTAATAAAGTGAATTAAACTTTTTAATCAGATCAATTTCGCTATTTGTGCATTTTGGTTTTAATTCAAAGTGATTATCGTCAAATGTCATAGACATTTTATCACGTAAATGCCAGGGAATATCAGTGCAGGAACATGTTTGCATTTTACCAGTAAATTATTTTCAACCACCGTTGATTTTAACCACAGAAAATTTCCTGTTACTAAACATACTATTTTAGAAGTTCTCTTTGTTTCTGGCACAAATTGCTGCCAATGATAATTGCTGGACGCAGAACAACATTGGACATATAAATGTATATATGTTTATATATACCCTGACGTTTCTATAACTACCACCTGATAAATTATAGATGACCTACTTTCATCCTCCGTAAGATCCTCCCCCATACACTGTAGGACGGCGCGGAGGTCTGAGGCACTGATGTAACCACACCCCGTCTTGTCGAATACCTGTAGAGAAACACCATTACATGGATATAAAAAATATATATCAAAGCCTTATACACAAGACAAGTACAACAACAGGTACTGAGGACACATTAAAATAACAGAAAAGACAACAACGCGAACTTAGGAAACAACAAAACAACAGGAACTGAGGAAACATCAACAACAAAACAACAAGAAGGACGACAACAACGTGCGCTGAGGACACAATAAAACAACAGGAACTGAGGAAACATCAACAAAAAAAACAGGAACTGAGGAAATATCAACAACAAAACAACAGAAAAGACAACAACGCGAACTTAGGAAACAACAAAACAACAGGAACTGAGGAAACATCAACAACAAAACAACAGGAAGGACAACAACGTGCGCTGAGGAAACAACAAAACATCAGGAACTGAGAAAGCAGCAAAACAACATTCACACAAATCTAGAGGTGAAGCCGGGTGAACCACACTTGTTTCCTGTACCACATATGGCACCCGTCTTGCTATTTTGCACCAAATTTAGGACGTTTTTGAATAACACTATCGATCTTAAATACAGTGAAACAAGTATGGTAGATACATATATACTGATATACTGATAGCTGGGAATCAGGTATTAGTGACTACCGGAAACATTTGTCCTTGTAGTTTATCCTTGTGTTAGAAAAAAAAGAATAACTAAAAACAGAAACCAAGATAATCGATGCACGGGTTTCTCAAGATTTCCGAATATTTGTTCGATATATAGCTTCACAAGTGAAGAATCAATTATGACTGAACATCATGCAATGCCAAGCCGGCGCATCATTTACATACATCTCCGTTATTGCATTTTCATTTATTTTTTATTTGCGAAATATATATAGTGTTCCGACTAACGAGCTTTTATTGTTTACATACTATTCTTTTATAGTTAACTAAAAATAGGAATTCTATAGCACCGAAACAATGCTTCAGTTAGATTAGAATCTTTTTCTCATCAAATCCGCTATGAAACACTACACCCACAGGCGGCTGGTGGAAGTGCGTAACAGACGAATAAGAACTGTAATACATATTTTAACACATAGTTTAAGGAGAAACATAATATTTATAATAATAGAAATAGATATACATCAGTCGAGGTTGAAATTTAATACTTTTTTGTCATTTATGTTGCTATGTCGTCTTGTAGCCTTATTGCTTAAAACATTATTTTTCTTTGAAAGTATTGCGTTCCAGTAATCAAAATTACAAAACCGCTTATTTGTCACTTTTGCGGTAGCGCACCACAACCAGGCAACTGCAATTACATTGCAGTGAAACGTAGAGGGAAATGGGTTTGATTTGTAAGCTTTTAACCTTAACAATGTAAGGTTAAGAGCTTACATTCGACACATGCTTTTTACAAATTAACTTTCAATGAAAATGTATATACCGATTATTTATAACCATTCTAACAACACAACACAACAAAAATTAAATATAAAGTAGAAAAAAATATCAAAGAGTAACACACAGGAGCAAAATGAAATTCAACGTTGATACAAAAAAAAAACCCGACAGGAGCCCGTAACGATGATAGTTTTCCGGCCCACATATGACATCAGACACGATGTCTGTCAAATCTAACGGACACAATCTTCGGATGGTCATCGTTTCATAAATATGTCGTTTTTCGTGCTTCTCTCTTATATTTCCATTGTACTGAATTATCAGTTACATACTATATTGATAACATGAATATGTGAGTACATTGTTGACAAGCATTTTTTTATGAATAGTGCTTGTAGCCAGTATCCTAGTTTTGTCAATCGGCCTCCAATGTAATGATTTTCATAATTTGAAATCTCCCTTATGCAAACACGAAAGCAATTATGAGGAATTGCATACAGCTCTAAGACTGTTGTTCTTTCCCTGTGTAACTGGATGTATGTAACTCATGTGCTAGATTGCTGAATCAAATTACTGTTTAAACTAACGAAATTAGGGGAAATTAATTGAGATGGATACTGTTTCATCATTCTCAAAAAGTCTGCCTTTTTGATCCCTTCATCACAATCTTACCCTGAATGCCTGCCGAAGTTCCTCCTCCTCATCCTCCTCCGACTGTTCGCTGATTCCCCCCATGTTAGCCATCACTTGCACGAACTCCTCGAAGCTGAATGTTCCATCACCTATATAAAATATGGTAGATGTCGTTTGTAAGTTCTGGGGAAAGTTGTTTTTAATGCCTTTAGCTTTGTTACGATGCGCTAGAATGTGTCAATTTTGTAAAGGCTTTGATTCAACATAACAAATATTGCATTTTATTAACAGATTTTATATAAACATTACTTTGTTTGCCATTTATAATGATCGCTTTAGGGCATGCACGTTTCCTCTCGCCCTACACACTATTTATAGGTACGAGTTGCGGGTCAGAACCCTTTTCAACACTGAATACGATGACATTTGCCTTGCATACAATTTACATCCACAACATAAATATACACAAACATAAATAAATATATTTTACATCTAAAACAACCAAATACAATTACAAAAAAGATCACGTAAACCCACGGACTTTTCATATACTTAGTATACGTTTAGAGAGGACTTTACTTATTACATGTTTCGAATCTATCAAATACACTGTGTATCTGGTTGTTGATTATTGATCGCACGTCAGGTTGTTGTGGATGTATTGTTTACTAATATATTTCATATTCATCTGGAATATATTATAAACAAAATATAAATATCACAGGTGTTTTGATGACACAGAAGTATTTCAAGAGTGTAGTGAATATTTTATTGATATTGTAGAATGTTGAAATATGAAAATCATTCAATTCAAGTGAAATGTACCTGTTAATCATCAAGAAACCAAACACGTTTTATTTAGACAGATTGTCCGTTCTCACATTCACTCACTCACACATGAAGAGAACCACATACACACCACTGAGAGGACATGTCGACTGGACGACTCATAAGGGAGAGAAGCGTGGTAATGGCCAACACTATACCGAAATAAAAGCTCCCTATATAATGTGGAGGGTTTTCGTTTATTATTTCAACACGTTCGTCGAATAATGAATGCCAATTTTCAAAGTACACTATTTTGTTAGAGCGCTTTCAATCTCAGTCAATTAATATTTGATGTCGGTTTCTTTGTTATATTCAACGTTCATTTCTATATTAATGTAAATTTTGTATGAAATGTTATCAGGATTGAATTGATTTTGAGATTCCCATTCATTGACATTAAACATGAATTAACTTTAAAGTATTAACTTCGCAGGTCCGCAATACGAACATCTTAATTTTAACTTTAGATTCGATTGCAGATTAAATGCAGTGTTCCCATTTCTTAAATCTGTTTTCACTCTTATTGTTCAACTCTAGAATGAATCAGCATTCATAATAAAAACTTATAAATGTAGTTAGTTTATGTCTTAACTTTATAGATTATTTCCCTTTTTGCCAGTTTTGATAAATTTTATTTAATAAAAATATAATATGTCATTAATGTTATAAGTGTGGGGAACATAATTAAGTCACGTGTTTTACATTTACATGAAGCCACAAGTCTTGCTCTATCTACTAAAGATATTGCTCTACTGCACTCGTGTCAAAAGCACACACATTCGTTATGTTAAGGAAAAACGATATTCACAAACCATCAATATCTATTTCCTTCAGCATCATGTCAAGCTCATCGGTATTAGGGTACTGGCCAAGGTTCCTCATCACTGTCCCTAATTCATCTGTTGTGATCGACCCGTCGCCATCTTTGTCAAACAACCGAAATGCCTCTCGGAGGTCTGTGCAAATAAAATAAATGAACTAACAAGTATATAAATGGATTTCTTTTATTATGTTCTGACGAAACTATCATGTTTAATAGCTATTTCTATCAAATTAACGTTCTAATAAAACAACGTTAGTTTAGACATGCTTTTGCTGTTACTAGAGCACTATCTGTGGTTCTACATGCGGCTGTATCTAGGGCTAAACAAGGCTACGTGAACAACACTATATATTGCATACTAGATATATATTGTGAGTTTAAGCAGACTTTTTGTACATTTAACTGAATTCATGATTAATGAAGCTAGTGAAACTATGATGTGATTAAAGGCATAAAAGGCGAGTGCGTTATCCACTGCGGCACCCGACCACCAATGTTTTTAATTACACATGCACGAGAATGTTTATACGAATAGTTTTTAAGACTGTGATGGTATGATTATGAGGTCAATCATTATTTCGTTTTCAATAATTTTGGGACCATGCTTGGAGTTCCCAAAGCCATTTTTTATAATATAGGTTTCGATGCCCTTGCATGGTTTGGAGTTCTGTGCATTGATGCTGAACTTTCCCCAGATTGCCGTATGATTCGGTACAGTTTACCTATATAATTAAATGAATGGCCCTCTGTACGCTATGACCTTTCATGTAGACTGGAAACAAACACTCCTCTATTGGCACTACACGACTATGGAATCCTTCCTAAAGTAGGTAGGTAGGTCAGAATACTCTCGCCAGAGAACGTATTAACAGTTTTTATGTCAATTGGGTAAGAATTGGTCAGTAATTGCCGATAAACATTGACTCATTGGGTGTAACATACTTGTGTAACACGCTTTATGTAACACAGAGTTTTCGGTCGTTGATAAAGCGTAGTCAATATTCCATATCGATGCAGGAGTTTAAAGTATGAATATTTGAGCATTAGTTTGATATTTATGATCAACTTACGTTACTAGTAAAATATTGTTGTACATCGCATGAAATTAGGTATACGATAGTGTGTTTTGGATTCTATTTCAATGGTGATTTAATGTATTATTACATTTCATATATCACAAAATACATAAACAAAATATCGCGTCGTATCAATACACATTAACATGTGTTAACCTGACGAATATGTATGTATGATATTGCTTTAATTACATATATACATTTTTCCTTGAAAGTGTAGCGTTTGAATGCATAAAGATATTAATTTCCTACGATTAGCCATTTGTACAGTGGTTAAAAACTGTGACAAAAGTAACAAAATGAAGAAAGCTACTTTGGAACCTGAGTAAATTGTATTGTAACAGTGTGCAGAAAACCCCCCAGAAAACATTGGAACGTCCGTTGTAGGACATGAAAATAAACTGTTTTACTGTAGATAAATTCACTTGGTACGTGATTAAGCTTTTATTACACATCTGATGAGTCTTACTTCAGTTATAAAGCCCGTATGTATGTTATGTAATACAAGGATCAACCTTTCACGCCGTGTTAATACTAATGTACAGGATGTTGTATTACCCCAGTGGCTAAAACGCTATCGTCACGTAAGATGATTCCATTCTCGACGTCGTTTATCTCCGTTTTTGTTTTTCGGGAATTGAATTGAAAATTGATAAGGGGTAATGATTACCAATGTTTTGCAGAACGCATAATATCCATTAAAGGACAATGGTATATATGTTACAAAAGTAATACTACACATGTGATATCTAGTATGTATCAGATGTTGATTCTACACAAACAAACAATATTTATTCTGATATCAAAGCTTACCTTGCACCTGATTGGAAGAATACCTCTGTAGGATGCTTTCATTCTCCTGTAGAAAACAATATTGGTATTCGTTAGTCATGTAAATGTAAAACAGGTATTGGTATCCTTGTTTTCTATCGGCTTTCTACTGAATACAAGCCATACAAATTGCAAAATCTCTCAGAAACCCTGTAAATATAAAAAAAGGTAACTCTCGTAGACAATGTCAATACAAAACAGAGCGAACTTTCTTCAACAATCTAGCAAGACACACTCTCTGAGACAACATGTCAATTTAAAACAGGTCACACTGTCTCAGACATTGTCTCCATTTGAAACACTTCAAACACTTTCAACCTCTCATTGTAAAACAGGGCACATTCTCTCAACCTGCCAATATAACAGCTCTCGAAAACGTCCTGTTAAGTAAAAAAAGAGGCAAGTTATCAACCTTTAAATGTAAAACAGGACTCATCCTCTCAACCTGCCTATATAAAACAACAGGGCAAGCTCTCTCAGACAAGCTGTTAATGTAAACAGGATACATTCCACGAGACAAGCTGTTAATGTAAAACGGAACATATTCTCAAACAATTCGTTAATTTATAACAAGGCCTTTTCTCTCACAGACCTTTGTCTATTTGACACGAGTCATGCTTAAACATGACTTAAACAACTTGTCAATATGAAACAGCGACGATCTCTCTCTAAACATAAGACTGTCGGGCAACATATCAATAAAAAAGGCAAGCTCTCCGAGACATCTTCTCAGTTTATTCCCTCTAACAACCGTTTAATGTAACATAATTTTCGCGCTTGCACACATAGTGTCAGTGAAAATCTGGGTACATGCTGCACGATACCATTTCCGATGTACAGCATTGCAAACGTTATAGCTGAGAATACCCATATTGTCGGTAGCCCTTTTAACTTATCTAGACTTATCTTGCTTCTCTATCTTTTTTCACGATTGATTGTGTTGACAGGTTATTTATTTTGTATCATATCAGTCAGTTATGAATTCGTTCGTTCACATTGCAACATATACTCTTTAAGGGTAATTAAGGGTAAATTGTTTTGCTGTCTCCTCATTTTTTTGTCTTTATATATATGATATAGGCACATATTCTTATCACATTCTTCGATGAGTGTACACAATGTGGTAAATCGTTTGTATACTGTTTACCGGGAAATTGTTGCCAAGTCAAATGTTTGCCCGTCGCCAAAATTATCAAGCGTTATTTTCACCACGTAATAATTTCGCCCAGCACATTTAATAACTATCCATATTATGTTGTTTACTGTTCGCTGTACTGATAATTTTGCCCTAATTAGGTCGGGCGTAAAAGGCGAAAGGAAACTGCAGCTAAAGTATCCCGGTATACAGTATCTTACCTACCAAAGGTAAGTAGTCTCATTAACGCAACTCCTTCAAAATGTATCACAGGTATATCCACTCATCGGGTACAAGCATCAACAGTTGACATAAATGAAGAACGGATGTGATTGATTGATTTAGAGTGTTTGTTCGTACCTAACATAGCTTTTGTATAACATGCAACACGTCAAGTTGAAAAAAACAAGTAATTGATATAAACAAAACTCCTTTATATCATTCTTGAAATCAGGACAAACGTTATGAAAGGTCGTTATCACTCAATCTACCTACGTTTAATTGATGAACACGAATACGTGATATCGTTTGTTCCTTTAATGGACGTTTTAAGGTTACGAGTGACATGAGCACAGCTGCCAACATCTGCGTTCGAAATTTAATAGGAACACAAATATAAAAATCTGAAAAAATCATTTTCAATACGTAACATTATATGACTATATAAAAGTAATTATGCTGATATGCATGTACTATTGCAGTTGTTTATTTTTACCTTTAATTTTCAACAACTATATTCAAACTATTGCATTTGATTTGATAAATCAAATCGATATAAAAATGTCCCTTTGAATCTCCCGAGTGTTATAAAACAAGCATAAAACACTTTGAAATTTGCACGTACAATTTTATAACAATTATAACTAAATGTATAGCATCAGAAATATTTCTATCTTTGATACTTGTCTGGCACCAGGCACGAATGTTGGTATTGTTTCATCGAAAGCCATATAAAGACAGTGTTCACAAATGATGAGGCCACTCTAGAGATTCATCTCATTAGACGTCATAACCAGGAAACACAAGCATGACACTCAACGTTTACATAATGATGGGCTAACCAAGTGTGCCAAAGGAAACACCGCCCAAAAAGAAAGAGTAGAATAGAAAAGAAGATATTAAGGTTCCAAGTGTTTGAATATGGGCTGCGGCTTAACTTGGGTTCTCCATTGTCCGGAGACACATAAGAAAATCCTCGATTTTGCGGAGGTTTCCACATTCTTCGCCCTCTACAATCATGTATGGAATAAAACAGGTTAGTTATTCCCTGCGAACTGTTGCTGAACCCAAACCATTATAGTATTTGAAATTTAGAACCGTTACAGATTGGAAAATGGAAGTCAGGTAGACAAATCGGCTATTGAGTTAATATTGCCAACGAAGAACAATGTAATTTAAACCAAGTCCATTATAAAAATAGGACATGCAATCGATTGCGCCATGTTTTTAAAACGGAAATATTGTAGTTGACATGTAGATGGTTGCTAAGCAATAACAAGCCAAAATACCTACTTTCTGCTTACTAGCATGCGATCCTTTGCAACGAACAGCATATCATGGTTCTCAGTCTTTGTATTTGATTTTGTTATCATCATTAAAGATAACATAAAAACACAGAATCTTGTGCAAGGCTTATCTTTTGCTTTTCAGAGCTTCAATTCTCCTGTGATTTAAAGTGTGTATTGACCTTTCTCTGTAATGAATCATTTGAACAAGACGGTTCTCGACTCCGCACACATATAGCTGTAATAGAAAACATCCACATCCGGTTCTGGGAAACTATTAGCGAGAAATCTACTGAACTCACGGGTTATCAGTTTATGATTGTAAAGATAAACAGTTCTTTGTTAAGAGCAAATATGTGTTCCTGATTGAGGGATGTGTATTCTTTGTATCAGTATTAAGTGAGTGCAGAAAATGGGAGTTCTCAATTCACTTGTTGTTGCTGGAAATAGTTAGAATTGTAGAGCCGTTGCTAGCACGTTTAACTATTTGGCTGTAGAGTAGGAGTATACCTTGTGGGAATTATCAACTCTTAGTATGACCCGCTCTTCTTCTGCGGTTTAAATATATAGCATACGTAAATTTAAACCTTGTTTAATAGATATAGGCAAACGTCAAGGAAGTCGAACAAATGTATGTACATTTTTTTATCTAGGTACGTCTTTGTCTTGCAGATCACTTAAACAATCAATTGTGCGTTGAAGTTTGCCTGAGTAATAAATCATTTAAGCACCTATGCTTCTGTTTTATAGATCTATTACAATGCTATGTATGTGTTTCTGCTTTTTTACATGTAAAAGCAAGTACTCAATCACATCATGAAAGAAATAGGTATACTCGCACAATGAATGACCTGACGCACTCACGATGATACAAATGCCAGAACAAATACTGATACTCAATCGTAAGATACACATTTAAAACACTAAAATTGGTTTTATTGCCTTAATTTCACTTTTACTGTTATTCTATATATGTTATGGAACACATTGAACTTTAAAATTGTAGTACCCCGATGAGCCCTAAACGGACGAAATGACCATATGGGACTGACTTCATTGTTTATGGTTTGCTTTTTACACCAATTTACGATGTTTTCAGGTCGATTTTCGTATTTCTAGTGTTTATTTTATACAGATTAAACAATCTGATGGCAACAAATGAAACGTTCCCTTTATACGGAAATAGCATTATACAAATAAATTTAGAGCATGGACACCTATAGTTAGTTGGCATTGCATATTTTACAACATAAACTGCAAGAATATCGAGTTTTATATACAATTAATAAAATAAAAAAACACGTTTATACACAACAATGATTAAAAACACATGTACACCGCCATATGATGCCCAGAAAGAGCAATGTACACTGTTCTTTTCTGCTTTTACTCCACTCGGTTTTAACCAAGTATGCGATACGTGATTTATTACTTTATTTTAACAATACCTGTCAATCAATAGCGTTAAAGGAGCTATCTCTTTCCAATTATAGACAACTCCTAAATGTCATCTTGGCACCATACGTGGACATTATAAGTAGGCAGATAAGGACGGATACAACGTAACCAGGAAGTAAGTAATGTATGCTCATTACTCTGGCCCGACACTTATTATTTTCGTAAATGTTTTGCAATTAATTCAATGTCATTTACACTTAACAATACGCACACTTTACTAGCATTGATACATTAATTTGTACATGAAAATTGGTACAGGAAATGAGAATAATTCAATACCAAATGTTAAATTTAGATGTAGACATTTATTTTAAAGTACAATAAACGTAAACATATATACATATTTTACATAAAGCGATATCACATCATATCATACAAATCTCAAATATCAATTATCTGTCTCAACGTCTTTCTCGACATGAGTATGCCTAAATTATATTTCTGACGTTTAGCAATTAGCGAAAAGCGTCCCCCAAATTGAAAGAAAATGAGCAAATAATTACATACCCTCTCCAGTGTAAGCTGCTTCATAAGGCGTTCCATCAGTACAAAGGCATGGATGTTTTATCCCCGTTAGCTTTTGTTAAGAGCAAAAACAGGACTTGATGTTCCGAAAACGGATGATGAAGGAACGATGAACCGGATGCTGATATAACCCTGAGCCGGTTGCTGGTGATGCAACATATGGATATTGGGGGTAAGCTAAAACTTATATTGCAAACGAGCTGATGACCTACAGCGTAGCTTGTGTAACACTACATCAATCTGCTAACCCGTTAATTGTCCAATAAGGCACCAGCGCCGTCAACACGTGTTTACTATGAACGGTATAGGCGATGGGCGATCTAGGCCAAATGAATCGATCTCCAGGTAAAGAAATGTTTAAATACATTTACCGGTACTTCCGATTTTATTTCCTTTGTGTACAAC